TATATATATATATATACACACACATACATACATATGTGTGTGTGTGAGAGCCAATGGTCAAGAAACATATTACCTAGAGGCTTTGTGTAATGATCTGTGGTGGAACATACTATTTTTTAACTGTGGGGGGAAACACTGCATTTGGTATAAATAAGCTCATTATATTTATTTTGGTTGAGGTGTCTTTGGTTTTGTTCAGAGTGAGTGCATGAAAATAGTGATCACATTACTGTGTTCCCTATTTTGATTTGCTTGAGCATAGAGTTGAAGAACTGCCTTAAAAGGGACAGAGAACCTTTTACCATCAAGTCACAAATTTATAGCCATATCATGTTGAGAATGGCAAAGTAGTGAACATGTGAAATCTGGTGTTTCAGAAATAATCTGAGAAGCTCGGAGTAATTTTACATAGTCATGCTCTCTGCTCTACTGGTATTTGGTACAGAACACGTAATTTTGTGCTTCAGACTTCCTATTTCTGAGCAGGAGAGAATAAAGTCATGCTATTTTGGTATTATGGCCTGTGTGACACTGTCCTGTGGTGGGGGAGGGGAGAAGGAAAGGATTTTCCAAAGCTGGGAATTAGGTACCTCTCTTAAGGAACTGTGTGTGAGGGAATAATATCAAAAGTGCTTTAATGACATTCCAAAAGAAAGCAGAGAAGTTTTGGAGAAAAGATACAGAAACATTATCCACATGCATCTCTTAGAGAATACAAACCTCACTTCAGGAATCCCAGAGGGGAAAGATGGAAGATTATTCAGCAGGCATCAAGATGATGATACACTCTACGTATCTAAATAGAAATTCCATCTAGAGCTTTGCAAAGAGGTGCAGCAGAAAATAGAAACATCAAAAGAGAAGTAGGTTGGGACCAGTGTGGAATTTTTATGGTGGCTGCGTGAAGGAAGAGAAGTTTGCATGTGCTAAAGTAAAACAGTTGAAGGTTTGGCATTTGGAAATTAGGGGCTTAGAGATTGTTTGGTATGACGAGACAGGTGAATAGTTATCTCAATGGCACCAGGCTTCTAAGATTTAAGTTTTTACATTATTAGTTTCTCTAATGTTCTTAACTAGATTTTGATACTTGCATTAAAAGTATTATTTGATCAGAACCTGGCATTTTTTTAATGTCTATGTCAGTCTGATTTATTTCAGGTAACGATGGTTATGGTGTTATCTCTAAGACCTTTTTTGTGTAGTAAGTAAGAGCTAACTGCACCTGTTCCCACAATCAGAGATTGGTTGAGGTTGGAAGGGGCCTCTAGAGATCATCCAGTCCAACCCCCCTGCTCCAGCAGGGACACCCAGAGCACGGGGCACAGGGTGGCATCCAGGCGGATTTGGAAGATCTCCAGAGAAGGAGACTCCACAACCTCTCTGGGCAGCCTGTTCCAGGACTCTGTCACCCTCACAGGAAAGAAGTTCTTCACATGGAGATGGAACTTCCTGTGTTTCAACTCATACCCGTTACCCCTTTTCCTGTCACTGGCCACCAGGGAGAAGAGTTTCGCACCATTCTCTCTACATCTTCCCTCAGGTATTTGTGCTGATTTGTTGATCAGATCCCCTCTCAGTCTTCTCCAGGTTAAGCAGGCCCAGCTTGCTTAGTCTTTCCTCATATGACAAATGCTCCAGCCCCTTAATCATCTTTGTGGCCCTGCACTGGACCCCCTTCAGAACCTTTACATCCCTCTTGTACTGTGGAGTCCAGAACTGCACACAATGCTCCAGTTGCAGCCTTACTAGAGCTGAGAAGAGGGGCAGGATCCCCTCCCTCGACCTGCTGGCAGCGCTTCTCCTGATGCAGGCCAGGATCCCATTGGCATTTGGCCAAGAGGGCACATTGCTGCCTCATGGTTAACTTGTTAATCAAGACCCTCAAATCCCTTTCCATGGAGCTGCTTTCCAGTAGGTCAACCCCTAATCTGTCCTGGTGCCTGGGGTTATTCCTCCCCAGGTGCAGGACCCTGCACTTGTCCTTGTTGAACCTCAGGAAGTTCCTTTCTGCCCAACTCTCCATCCTGTCCAGGTCCCTCTGAATGGCAGCACAGCCCTCGGGAGTGTCGGCCACTCCACACAGTTTGGTGTCATCTGCAAACTTGCTGAGGGTGCACTCAGTGCCCTCGTCCAAGTCATTGGTGAACAAGTTGAAGAGCACTGGTCCCAGTAGTGACCCCTATGGGACATCACTGGCCCCTTCCTGACAGGTGCCCTTTATTAAACACCCATGACAGTGCTGCCCCTGTTGACCTGCGCTTTAATCATCGCTGACAGGCTCTCGATTTCACTTGATGCTGCCCTAGGCGGAGCTCCATACATCCCGCTGCTCTCTCACATAAAGAGTAGCTTCAGCACCTCACCTTGCTGGCCTGTCACAGAATCACAGAAAGGTCGAGGTTGGAAGGGACCTCTAGCCCATCCTCCTGCTCAAGCGGGGACACCTGGAACCTGTTCACCCAGGCAGCACCTGTCAGAACAAGGGAACTACCCAATAAGCAAATAACAGGGCTTATTTTCTATTTATGGAATTTTGGACAGAGAGGGAATTTTACATTCCATGTACAAATAGAGCAAAAATTACAGGCAACCTTTCTTCAGCCTGATCATCTGGGCTTGGAGTCACCAGCTTTGTTATGCTAAACCTGTTTTTTCTACTGAAGTGTTTTGTTCAGTGCATTTTTTGTGTTCCTTTAAGGAGGTTTCCCTAGTTTATGATTGTGGATGATTCTGTATTGTTATTCTTAAACAAAATTGAAAAACTCTCTGAAGTTGTTGGTGTCTAATTACTATTAAAACTGACTGTTGAATCTCAACCCAAGTTAGACTTAAGCTTAACTTGCCTGTAATTTTTGATAACATCGAAGTAACCCTCTTTTCTTTGGAGTCTTATTATAAGAGTCCAAGGGAGAAAATTTCACCCTCAGCTTCAGGGATTGCTGAATCAGGTCACAGCATGTGCTGTGCCTTGTTTTGGAAAACTTTTGCATCATATGTTTTTGGGGAATTTTTTGATTCCCAAGGTGACTCTTCATTGTGCTTTCTTGATGAATAGGCTTATTTACTTGCTGCTTGTTTCACCTGTCTTGTTGATGCTTCATATACTTTTTTTTTTCTTTTTTTCTTTTAAACTAATCCAAAATCCCCTGGACAGACATCTGGTTCTAATTGTCTTTATACAGCATTCCTAAACTGTGATGTTTACATTTGCTCCCAATTGTGTCCGGTGTATTTTTTAAAAAAATATTTGGTCATAATGTTGCAGCAGTCAAATTACCTACAGTGATGCCTTTGTCTAGCAGCTGCCCGCATGCACTTTGTAGCCATTCTCCTGTTAAATATCTCTGTCCAAAACTTTCATTTTTTTTTTCCCCTAGATAACTGTTGCAATATTAGGTATAGTGAACAGTTGTAGCATACACCTCTTAACCTCAGGAAGATTCACAGTTGAAGCGAATTTAGATATATTAATGTACTAATAAATACGATTCTGTTGTACAGTGTAACATTTGTAAAATGGATAAATGCATAAATAAATGTATTTTAATAATCGTCTACTGTGAATTTTATTTACTCATGAAAATAATATCTGTTAATTATCTTGTACTTGCTCCTTGTGGCTGAAACGTGTGTGTGATATATATGTAAATGTCTCATTTCAAAGTAGCAAAATACAATTTTAAGCACTGAACACATTTTGGGTGGTACTTGCAGAACTTAACTACCGATGCTTTTGAGCATCGGAGAACTAAAGGAAAATATTATGTTTATGGATAAAACATGTAGACAATTCAGTGACA